TCAATAAAATATCTATTTTTTAAACCTATTAATAGAATTTTCAATAATAAAACCTTAAAGTTAAAGTGTTCATTTTCGTACTATGATTAAGTAGTATGATTTTTTAACTAAATGAAGTTCATGTGTAATATATTAAAATGAAATTAAATCTAAAATTTCATTGGATGGGTTTCAGACTTTGATTTTGCTGGCAACGAACCCATATATATATATTATATATATATAATTACCTATATTTGGAATAGTTTATGATGTGCAATATGAAAAAAAGAGAATTACAATATAATTAGAATTAGTGTTATACATATATATATATTAAATAAACTTCAAGAATAGCTTAACTATATTTGGTAAAAGGCATGACTAACAAACTTTGTTGCTTAAACTTAATACAATCGATTAATGTTAACTAAAAGTATATTAAATATATATATAACAAATTGGTTTAACTATATTTAGTAAAGATATATCACGCAAATTTTTCATATATAAAAAATTGTTATATTTTTTAAAGATTAATTCAAGTAATTAATAATGTTTTCAAATAAAAATAAAATACTTTTTCATATATTTGTCCTTCTCGAACCTGAAAATTTATACCATGTAATTATCCAGCTTGTAAGGAAAATATGGTAGATCCTAGAATCCAATCAGCTTATGCTAATATATCCAAAAGAAAAATTGTTAGTTTTCCAGAAAAATTAACTAGTTCACTACCTAATGATCTGGAAGAATTAACTAATTCATCTTTACCTAATGATCTGATATTTTATTTAGAAGATTTTGTGGATATTAGCAATGAAGAACCACAAGAATCGCATGAAAAAAGATATCCATTTTTGGTAAAAAAGACTTCTAGAAAAAATATAAGGTCAGAAATTTTACTTTCAGAAGTAATAAATGAATTAGTTTCTGATGATGATGATGATACATCTGAAGAAAATAATGAAAGAGACTTTGAAGACGATACCTTAGAATATTCATCAGATGATTTAGAGGAAGAATATTAAGTAAATTTTGGTGTATTAAAAATGGAAGAAAGTATTTTTAAGCATACTAAAAAAGGATTAGATACTTTGTCATAGATTGTTATATGGAACTTAAAGTATCAGGAAAGATTTCAATTATCTAATGTGGTGATAAATTCTCTCTTCATGTTTTTCCACTATGTTCTTGTGAATATAGATGAAAACTCATTTTCTGCTTTTCCTACATCTCTCTACATGATGCATAAAAATCTCAGAATCTGTATTCATTTAATAAAATATGTGACTTATAGAAAATGCTGTAAATTATATAAAGTTGCTGATGTATCTAGCAGGAAACCTAACCTTACGCTTAAATTTACAAATTGTACATTCTGAGATTTTCCTAACCATTTGATGAGTTGTAAAAGAAATGCCTATAAAACCCTGTTATATAAAAAAGTTTATATAAAAAATGGTGTAATTAAAAAGCTAACCTTAATATTTCCTATGGTTAGCATAAAGAATCAGCTAAATCTTCTATTTAGACAAAAAGGTTTCAAAGAATCATACTGAAAATAGATTAATGGTCCTTCTGATCCAGAAATCCTTGCTGATATTTATGATAGGAGAATAAGAAAGTCATTTAAAGATGAATGTGGTGTAAATTTTTTTTAGCCAGAAACAGCAGATACTCACCTTGAAATAATGCTTAATATGGATTGTTCTAATCCTTTGAAAACTCTTAACATAATACAGGAGTAATTTACGCAATCATTTGCAATTTATCCCAGAATGAGCGATTTAAACCTTCAAATATATTAACGTTAGCATTAATTCCAGGTCTGAATGAGCCGAAATTACATCAACTAAATCATTATCTTGCCTCTCTAATCGATCAATTAATCGAACTATGGCATAGAATAAACCTACCAGAAACTTTCGAACATCCCAATGGAAAAAAAATAAAAGTTGCTGTTATATATTGCTCTTATGATATTTCTACTACAAGAAAGCTTTGCAGATATATATCTGCAAAAGCTGCATATTACAGGTTTTTTAAATATGTTAATTATGATGATAACAATCAACCTAACTTTGAAAGACTTGATGATATGGATGACTGGTTTAAAGAAAAAGATGCCAAAGAAATTAGAAATAATGCTTCTGAATGGAAAAATTGTAGAACAGAGAAAAAGCGTCAGAAACATGTATCAAATACCTTAATTTGATGATCTGAAGTACATTGTCTACCTTACTTCAATCCTATACGGTTTTCTATCATTGATTCTATGCATTATCTCTTCCTAGAAATCATAAAATGAATAGTAATAAGACTATGGATCGAAGGAGAAAAATTAACATCAACAAAGTTTAATATCATGCAAAAGAGAGCTAGTCAGATACAAGTGCCAGCAGACATCAGCAGACTTCTAAGCAAAATAAACATAGGTGAAGGTTTTTCCAGGTTTTCTACAGACTAATAGAAGACGTTCGTATTGATATATGTGACATCTATTACCTAGAATCTTCTAAAAAAACCTGACTGAAAAATTCTGGCAAACTTAGTTTATACCTGTAATATAATAGTATATAGAATAGTATCAAAGAATGATTTAATAGAAGCTCATCAGCGTTTAGTAGAAATGGTTAAAGAAATTGAATAAACATACAGCCCTAAAAAAATTTCTCCCAACCTATATTTGTGTATACATTTATATGAATGCATATTAAATTATGGCTCCTTGTATGCCTTTTAGTATTACTCTATGGAATAAATGAACGGATTGCTAGGTAATCACCTGATTGAAATTATCATTCAGTACTAGCATTTACAGTACTAATATTCAAATACTTTTTAGGATCATTTTATAATAGCCAGAGAAACATTAAACTGAAGCTTATGAAAATAATCTAACATAATACTCTCCTAGATGAATTAACATTCTATCATATCAAACAAAATCAATAACTTCGAGAAAGCTTTGAATCGTTAAAGTCTAAAGATCTATCTAGAAGCCTTTCTGTATATGATAAATACACCAATGAAGAATATCAGTCATTTCATTTATTATCAAACATAGAAGATTATATAGCATTCGACTTTAAATCGTTCCCAGGATCTTTTTTAAAACCACTAAAAAGAGATGTCATACTACAAAAAGATTTTCAGCAATTATTAGCTGAATTTTATTGTAATACATACAATAAAGAGTCTGTGGCATCATTATACATTCATAATACTCTGAAAGATTCTATTTCTATT